TGTATTTTTTAATATTTTGTGTTTTCGTACTGGGACAGAACGACACTGACGCCACGTAAACGTCCGATATTACGCGAAACCGACTCTCGTGAGCTTTAATCTGCGTTATGATGTTGTTGGTGGAACAGAGTGTTTTCAGTTTGAGAGAGAAACTAAGAGCTTAAATGTGAGTTAAACGTGTGAGTGAAACAAAAAAACACACAAGTCCAGTTCGGTTTGTGACGAGGAAACGAGATTATATCAGAGAAAAGCTCTTGAAGTTTCTTTACTGTAATAAAATATTGAAGTTTTGTTTAGTTTTATCCAGATTAATCTTGTTTAGATGCAGATTCTGTGGGAGCTAAAGTAGAAAAAGTGTCAGGTTTTCCGACCCAGCCCCAACCTGAAGAGCATCTGAGGGAAGTATCCGAGTATTTGTTGTACAGGACGGACTCTGGTGAAGTTGTTTGAAAAGCAACTGTCCCCTGTGCGTGTGCATGGAGCTCGTCTGTCCCACGGCCCCTGAACCTCCCTCCCGCTCCTGGAGTCGCTCACAAACAAACGCCAGCGGAAAAAACCTCCCAATGTTTCTCCTTCTTTGTTTGGGATCGGCTCCACGGACTCGTCACTGGTCTCGTCTTCTGGTTTAGAGTTTAAAGTCCTTTCGGCTGAATCACGCTCGTGGGTTTGAGGTTGAATCGCGGCTTCGCTTTTCTCAGGCGACGCTGGGAAAGTCGTTCCGCTTTTGGTTTATTTGTCCCGACAGAGAAGAGGTTGAACTCGGAGACGGTGTTTGTTCCGTGTGGAAAGGACTGACAGATCTGAGGCATAAAGCAGGTCACACGTCTGCACCTGACGGACACAGCCAACCGCACCTGTCGCTCTCACCCGTCGCACCCACAATAATCCAAATCGGCCCCACGTGTCGTAGTCTGATTCATTAGTTTGACCTCGCAGCATCAAGATTCGTTCACTGGACAGTAGACGGACACTTTTTTAATTTAAAGGTTGTACGGAGGATTTTTTTTTTTGTTTAAAATTGTCATTGAAAGTTTAAAGGTTGTATAGAGGATTTTCCAAGGAACATTACGCAGTGTGAAGACGTAGAAACAGCAGATTTGTTAAGCACATGATGATGACCGAAGAAAAAAAAAGAAGAAAGAAAAGAATGAGAAGTGATCTATCAGTTGTGGACGTAGTGAGGCCAGATAAACGTTTATCAGCCAATAGAAAACGAGGCTCCCTCTTTTTCTATTGGCTGTCAGGTTGTCAGTCAAACTCCCATACAAACAGTTTTTCTGTGTAAACTGAGTCGTCGCGCGCTCAGGGGATTACAGTGTGTTTATGCGGCGGTTCTTTGAGGCTTTTTCAAACTGTCGCTTCCTCGCAGTTCGCACAAAGTTTGTCGCGACGGCGGACGAGAATCCACGACCAGTTCGCCGCAAAAGAAAGTCCGAAGGGTCTAAAAACTGACGCGTCGGTCGCTAAAATATTTCTAGGCAGGTCACTTCAACAGTGATTCTGAACATGCACTGGATGTAAACAAACGTGATTTGTAGAGTAAAGAGGCGGGAGGAGGAGATGTTTCTACTGAGGAAGGTGGTGTCACACATGCACAACATTTGATAAACGACTGTCGCTGTATTTTGCTTCCCTTAAAAAATCCTCTATACAACCTTTAACCAGTCGCTGTTGTTTGGTCGTGATGTTTGTAACGCTCAGCGAAGTCCAAACAGGCGAGTTTCATTAGCTCATTATCAAATTAAAGTCATTATCACGATTATTTTGGTCAATACTGGAATCACGATTTTTTTTAGTTACACGATGCATTTCTTCAGCATTTCTCTGTCAAAAAAACCCCACAAACTTTCAAACTGAAAATAAATACAGGCTGCAAATATGAACCTTAGAGCAGTGAACATGAAATAAGGCAGGAAAAACATAAATGTATCTAAAATAAACTGTACATCCAGCTGTTCTACAAGCTCTATATTAAAAAAAATAAAATAAATATACTTATTTATATCCAAAATATGCCAAAATAAACTAGGACTTTAGAACCGTGTCCTGTTCAAACACGACTGAACGGAACTGAGCCACAGCCCGACGACGTCATCACGCGGCGCTGTTTGTTTACACGTGGCAGCAGAGTGTTTTATGTTTTAGAGGAGAAAATAAGTCCAGCGGCAGAAACATGTGTTAAATAGTGAGACAGATGTGAGTACCGTGTTTTTCCGGGCTATTAGACGAGCGCTTAAGCCTCTAACTCCATCAAAAAACAACCGCGTCCCACAATCCAGAGCCGCCCTACAGGCCAGTTTCAGCTGACGTCATTGTTATTAAAAGTCCGCGTTGCTGCTGGGAAATATTTTGGTCGGAGGCAAGAAACACGGTAGCGTCAAACACAGTGCGTAACCTCTCGTATTTCTCCCTGATAATGATAAATTCCTGCTGCATTATCGGACGCACAAATAGAAGCACGGAAGAAGGAAAATGTCTTTTTCGTATTCTGAGTGAAAAGAACCACTAACGGTGAATTAAACGACTTTCAAACATCCGCAGAGCAAACGTAGAAGATCCTAACAAACCGTGGACTCCAACAAGTTCAACAACACATCCAGACTCTTGGAGGTTTTCATCTTTTCTGCTGTGAATGGCCCAGGAGTTTCACCAAGTCATTGTGGATGTCGCCCAAGTGAATATTTGTCCAGGTAGTTGGAGATTCAGACCAGAAATTTGGTTTGTTCCACCTTTTGTCGGGGTTGAAAAGGGTGATTTGTCGTCTGTTTTATGACCAATTTCTGGTCAAATGGTCTTGGGTCGTCTGCCGTTAGACTGGATAAATAACCGGGATCAATACCCTTTACGTGCTTTCTCGCTCCGTCCGTCGTGTTGAATTAGTGTTTCTTGCCGCCGACCAAAATAATTCCCAGCAGCAACGCGCGCTTTTGTCAACAATGAAACTCGCCTGTAATCGCCCAGCGGCACAACGGCAAACACAGCAGAGAGTGAACGTGTCTGTCAATGATCATCGTCGTTTCTGTGAATTAAAGGCACAACAAAAAATGCGAAGTTTGTGTTTGACAAAGTAAGTCCCAAAGAGGATAGAGTGTGTCAGACATGTCCAACTCATATACGATGGCCCACGATATAATTAGATTTGTCCCACGAGATCATCTCAAATCTGTATCAGAGCTGCCGCCGCACACAGAGACTAGAGACACATGATTATTTAAAATGTTGTTATTATTTTATATTCTGTTTGTTCTGGATTCAATGTTTAAGCAAAACTATAATTAAACATTTATTTAATAAGAAAAGGTTTAACATTACAAGAGAAAAGATGCAGATGTTAGTCCCAGTTTTTATGGCCTCTACATCTTCTGAGGTTCTTGTAAACAGTCAAGTGTTTTCTGATTCCTGATCTAGTCACTGGAGAGAAATGAAACTGAGCAGAGGCACTAGGTGGCGCCAGACTGGACACACGTATCAGCCAAAAATTCTAAACAATCGTTATCGACATCGATCATAAAAACAAACAAACAAAAACATAAATATTAAAATATAAACTGTTGTAATAAAACAGTTTACTGGTCGTAGTCGCCCAGAAAGTCTCCGAAAGTTTGGCCTTTTACTTTTACAAACCCGTTCAGTCGTTACATGAGGTAAATCTCAGCTGCAGAAAACGTCTGGATCAGTTTTGTCTGATTTTATTTTTGTTTGAAGGAAATAAAAACTCTTCTCAGTCTCTGGTCTCAGTCGATATCGGGAATCGGCACAAACTTAAAGCTTCAGTATCGAAATCAGTATCAGAACAGTAAAATCTGGACGAGCTCAGACGCCGCGGTGGAGAGGACGTCCCCTTGGCCTCAGCTGCCCTGGGGCGTTCTGACGGACATGTGGCTCGTGTCTGTGTAGACCCTGACACCTGCGCGGGCGACAGGTGCGCGGGCGACAGGTGCGCGGGCGACAGGTGCGCGGGCGACAGGTGCGCAGGTGCGCGGGCGACAGGTGCGCGGGCGACAGGTGCGCGGGCGACAGGTGCGTGGGAGGAGCTGCTTTCAAGAAAAAACTCCCGCACACCGTCTCTCTCCCGGTTTTCTTTTATTCAAACGGCGTTTCAGTCCCTTGAGGAACGTGTGAGGGGCTGAAACGTCGCCTCAGTAAAAGACAGATGGAGGTGAAGTGCGCTGCCCGACGACACAACAGCAGAGGGTCTCCAGGAGCGGGGAGCGGGCGAGTTTGTCCCTGTTCTTTGTGTCGTCTCTAATGTCACGTGTTACAGTTTTGAGTTCGGCTCAAACGGACGCCATCCTCCACAAAATGGCTGCTCTCTCTCTCCTCCTCTTCCTCCTCTTCTTCCTCTTCCTCCTCGTCTCTCTTCCTCCTCTTCCTCCTCTTCTTCCTCGTCTCTCTTCGTCTCTTTTTTGTCTCTTCACTGTTTTGTGTTTAAATGTTTTTTTCCTCCAACAGAAGAACAAAGCTTCAGTCTGAAGTGTCACTGTTGGACTCTCACGTAGTAGTAATAGTAGTAGTAGTAGTAGTAGTAGTAGTAGTAGTAGTAGTAGTAGTAGTAGTAGTAGTAGTAGTAGTAGTAGTAGTAGTAGTAGTAGTAGTAGTAGTAGTAGTAGTAGTAGTAGTAGTAGTAATATTTGTAGTAACTATTGTATTAGTGTTTACAGTAGTTTTATCACTAGTAGTAACTAATGTCACGTAGTGCTTGCAGTATAAGTAGTACTAGTCCTTGTAGTGCTTGCAGTAGTCATAGTTCTTTTTGTAGTTGTAGTAGTGATAGTATTGTAGTTGTAGTAATAGTAATAGTAATAGTAGTAATAGTGTCTGTTGTAGTGTTTATAGTAGTGGCAGTAGTACTATCAGACGTTGTATCTAAAGAAGTAACACTTGCAGTATCAGTATCAGTACTAGTTCTTGTAGCAGTAGTTTGCAGTAGTATCTGTAGCTGTAGTATTGCAGTACTTGTAGTAATAGTATTCGTAGTGACAGTCTGGTCTGGTCCACAGTGGATCCGGTTTCTGGTCTGAGGTTCCAGATTCTGAGCGAGTCCTCGGTCCAAATGTCCTGGACCAGACCCAGGACCCGAGTCCAGGGCTTCAGGATCTCAGTCTCCTCCGATACAGGTAATTAACTATCAACTAACTATTAACTAACTACTAACTCACTATGAACTATTAACTCACTATGAACTCACTATGAACTCACTATGAACTAACTATTAACTAACTACTATTACTACTACTATATGATACTAACTATGAACTCACTATGAACTCACTATTAACTAACTATGAACTAACTATGAACTCACTATTAACTAACTATGAACTAACTATGAACTAACTATGAACTAACTATGAACTAACTATGAACTAGAACTAAACTAAACTACTACTATGAACTAACTAAACTCACTAAACTAACTATGAACTACACTACTATTACTATGAACTACTACTGATACTAACTGAACTACATGAACTATAACTAACTATGAACTAACTATGAACTTTTACTAACTTTGAACTAACTATGAACTACTATTAACTAACTAGAACTGAACTTATTAAACTATGAACTTAAACTACTACTAACTATGAACACTAACTGAACTCACTATTAACGAACTACTACTGAACTACCTACTATAACTAACTATGAACTAACTATGAACTCACTATTAACTAACTATAACTATGACTAACTGAACTACTATTAACTATGAACTCACTATGAACTAACTATGAACTCACTATGAACTCACTATTAACTATGAACTAACTATGAACTCACTATTAACTAACTATGAACTAACTATGAACTAACTATGAACTAACTATGAACTCACTATGAACTCACTATTACTAACTATGAACTAACTATGAACTCACTATGAACTAACTATGAACTAACTATGAACTCACTATGAACTAACTATGAACTATGAACTCACTATGAACTCACTATGATTACTAACTATGAACTACTATGAACTACTGACTAACTATGAACTCACTATGAACTAACTATGAACTAACTATGAACACTATGAACTAACTATGAACTCACTATGAACAACTATGACTAACTATGAACTCACTATGAACTCACTATGAACTATATGAACTCACTATGAACTCACTATGAACTCACTATGAACTAACTATGAACTAACTATGAACTAACTATGAACTTATAACTAACTATGAACACTATGAACTCACTATGAACTCACTATGAACTCACTATGAACTAACATTAACTAACTAATTCACCATAAATACACAAAAACATGACAAAACTGAACACAACTCAACTCACCACTCCACAAACCTGATGTGACGTAAAGTTTTATCGTTAAGAAGTTGCCGATACGATACATGTCTCGATACATAAACCACGATACGATACATGTCTTGATACATAGGCCACAATATAAAACATATATCGATACATAGGCCACGATACGATACATATCTTGATGCAGGGAGCTTTCGATTTGATACGATTCAATACGATATACATTAATTCAATTCGATACAATTCAATAAAAATAAAGTCTAAATCATGTCTGTGATACTAAAAGTATCGCAAAGTTCATATGAAACACAAACATTTTAATCGTCAAAACAGAGAAAATGTCAAATGTGTCGCATAAACAAGTTTCCTTCCTCTGAACAAACAACAAAACTGAAGCTATGACAAAATAATTTAGTAAAATAAACCAAAAAATACTCGATATATGAATATAGCAGCCCATGATATCGATACCAATCCTGTATCATCACATTAAACGATTCGATAAATCAAAATGTCTATATTTCTGTATTTTTGCGCCCCTCTGTGTTCAGTTCATGAGACGTTTGTGTTGTTGTTTGTGTTGTTCCAGACGAGCCTCGGGAGCTGACGCTGCCCGCCTCAGCCTCCAGCGCCTCCCTGACCTCCCTCACTCCAGACGTGGACTACTCCGTCTCCATCGTGGCCTTCAGCGGACGCAGGGAGAGCACGCCCGTGTCCGGAAAAATCACACGTGAGTCTCCCGTCCTCTGCAGTCGTCTGACACTAACAGGAGTTTTAAGTCGCGACAGGAAGAGCAGGAGTGAGGAGGAGGGAAGAGACGAGGTTAAGACGGCGTCAGTGACGGATACACGCAGGGATTCCTGTTCTGATCCATTAATCCTACTTTATTAGTTTGTCCAGACGTCCCAGTTTTATACAAGAAATGTCCCAGTGTCTCTATTTTTGACCAACCTGATCCTGCCGACAGTAAAGAGGGAAATCCATGTGTCATTTGTTCATTCGTTTTTCAAAATAAAACCAAAATACTGATTCGTTTTTTCAGTTTTCGATTTTATGTTGAAATGGAAAATGGAAAAAAACAGATAACGGACTGAACCAGGACTAAAACAGGACTAAACCAGGACTAAAACAGGTCCGGGACCAGACCAGAACCAGACCGGGACCAGACCAGGACTGAGACCAGGACTGAGACCGGGACCAGACCAG